AGATGAAACTTCAAAGACACTCCAGTAAAATTTTAGTAGTCACTTAAGAAGCATCATGATAAATATGACTTTCAGAGAAACCAAGAGTTTTCAGAGTAACCTTTTCAGAGAGAAACTTAAGTAACACCGGGGTACTTCGAACATTCCATAACTCCACTTACTTTTCAAAAAAATATTCTGGCAACTTCTCAAACAAGGTTTTGATAATGGCAGGCTAAAAAAGAAGACATAGGGAGTTAGGAGATCATCTCAAAATACATAATAGAAATGTATAATCCCAGCTACTTGGGAGGTTGAGGCATGAGAATCGCTTGAACCTGCGGGAGGCAGAGGTTGCAGTGAGACGAGATTGCACCACTCCACTCCAGCCTGGGTGACAGAGGAGACTCTGACACACACAAACACACACACACAAAAGAAATGCATAATTCTCTTTCCAACCAGAGCTCCTGGAATAAACACTTTGTTAAAGTTGATATCTTATTACAAAGATATCCACATGAATATGTCTTCATTTTTAGAATATGCTATTGGAATACAAAGATTTAACTTGTCTTGTGAAAAACTGAAAATGATTATCAAGACAAAGTTAAAATAATCAGATAATCAAAATATTATTAAAAACAACGACAGTTAATCCACGAAATGCAGACTTTGAAAGATTATCAAATAGGTTGCAACGGGAGCTCTGCAGAGGAACAAGGGAGCTCTTAGACTGAAAATAACTAATTACCTTCAAGATTTCCAGTGAAAAGGAAGAGTTTAAGAGTGTGAAAAGATTCACAGTAGGGGAGAAGAGGAAAAATGGAGAACGGGGTGGAGGGAAGTGTTCTGTTCCATATACATTTGTATAACTTGAAATATTTAAATTATATCAATGTATTGTCTATTTAATATATTAAAGGAGAAGAAGAGGAGGAAAAGGACAAAATTAAGATACATAAGCATCTAAAAAGCTAAATGGAGATGATGGAGATACGAATATGATAAAGATTACAAGATACTGGCTGGGCGCGGTGGCTCATGCCTATAATCCCAGCACTTTGGGAGGCCAAGGAGGGCGGATCATGAGGTCAGGAGATCGAGACCACAATGAAACTCCATCTCTACTAAAAATACAAAAACTTAGCCGGGCGCGGTGGTGGGCGCCTGTAGTCCCAGCAACTCGAGAGGCTGAGGCAGAAGAATGGCGTGAACCCAGGAGGTGGAGCTTGAAGTGAGCCAAGATCG